TATTTGATTCTTTTTTCTATCCTAGCTACAAAACAATAAAGTCACACTCGGTTGGAACTATAAACAGTTACAAATATCTTCATTACTTGTCTCTTCTTTAGGCTCCTCAGAAATTACAGTAATAATTGTCCAAACCAATGGGAAGTATTAATTAAAGACAAAGTAAGTTTTTGGGGGGACAACACTGGTGAGCTTCTACCCTCACCCTGACTATGGAATACCCGCTTTAGAGAATTGCTGCCTCTCCCCCAAAGCAATGACACTTTCTACTGAGTTTGTCCATTTGATTACTAAATTGCTTCTGAAAGGGAAAAAAGCCAACAGGCTTTAGGTTATTGGCAGGATCATACAACTTGATTAAGAAGGAAATAACTGTGCACTGTGTATGCATAGACCCATTCAATAAAGCCTGGCCAGTCTAGGTGCCAAGTCCAGCCTCAATTACCTTCAAAGGAGGAGCTCTGTGCCTAACTCCTCCAATAATACAACATGGCAGAGAGGTATTTCGTTGTTGCTAGTGTGTCTGCTGAAACTCACCAGAAAAGTTGCTTTCTTCTTCTGACTTGATGTAGCACACACAGTTGTTCTAGGACCTTGGGCTGATGGGCAACACCCACACTGTCTCTCAATTAGTCAGCCTATATCTGCCCTTGTTTCGAGTGCTACCTATAACTTCCCTAAACTAAAGGTCCTTGTTTTTCTGATTCTGAGTTTGGGTAAAACAGAGGGAGCATAGAAGCTTGCTTTGTATTTTAGGCATACAGTTCTGATAAATACCTGGCTTCCTTACTTTGAAGGTTTATTGGCAAAAAATTACCTATTTTACTTCCATCTCTGAAATTAGGAAACATGTTGTTATCTAAACAAACCAAATTGACTTATATGCAATGAACATATCTGAGATATTTTTAAAATTTTCTATTTCTAAGTTTTCTGTTACAGTTGTACATTAGTATTTTGCAAAAATATTTTATTTATTATTTTTATATTATGTGTATGAGCATATTGCCTATGTGTATGTGAGTGCACCCATGTTGTGCAATACCTTTCAGAAGAGACAGAGTCCCTGGAACTGGAATTATGGATGGCTGTTAGCCACCATATGGGTGTTGGGAACAGAACCCAGGTCCTCTAGCAAGAGCAGACAGTACTCTTAACCTCAGGGCCATATCTCTAGCCCTAATATATGAGTATTTTACACAAAACTCCTTAAAAAAAAAAAGAATTCACCAAGTAAGTAGTTCATTTTTGAAGGACAGCTTATGATAGTCTTAGGAATTAAAAAGAAAGATGAAAATTCAAGGAATTTCCTCATGGAAATTCCCCAGAGAAGAGTTCATCCTAAACTACTACTGGTGATATGTAGGAAGCCCTGGGAAAGACAGTTTGTTCCACATATTGTCCAGAGTCTGACACTAGCAGATGAATAATCCTTTGGGACTATGTCTCCCATGATAAGAGCACCTGGATCTCCCAATTGTTAAGGGGTAAACAGTTGCAATTTTCTATAAAATATTAGTATTTCTCCTTTGAATGAAAACAAGTACAAAATGATTATAATAAACTTATAAAATGTATAAAATTACAGTTTTGGGAAAGACAACATACTTTATTTTATTAAACTTATAACCCAATCAATAGCATAGATAAATTATACTGGAAATGTGTCTTTTATTTCAGTATAAATATATTACTTCCTACCTAAAGTCTACTTTCAACAACATACATCATTAAAGATAAAATGATGCCAATGGAAATCAGGAGTATTACTTGCTTTTATTTATTATAATAAAAATAATTTTAGGAGCCTTTTCTAGGTAACTCAATGGATCAGTGTATTTGGACCATATAATCAGAAGCTATATTTGAACACTCAAGATCCTCAAATGTTTCAGAAGTAGAAAGGTAAGCAATTATTTTCTACATTTAAAAGAATCATCTTTGACTTTGACGCTTATTTTATTGTTACTATTATTTTAGCCTCAATATTATTTTAAAAAAGTTAAACTAAGTGAAAATAATTGAAACTTTTTATTTGCAATACAATTTAAAGAAATGAAGTGCCTTTCCATTTTACTTAAGACAACTTATTCTAAAATATTTATATTATATGAATTACGTTAATAAAGAAAAATTGGCCCAAGGCCTAGAATCAAATGCAAAGGAAGTAAGACCCAAATTCATTTAAATGAATATAACATGAATATTCAATAAAAACACAAGTAAAATTATCTAGGACAAACACAAGGATCTTTTGCTTTTTATGTGAAGATTTTCTGTCCATCATTCTCAATTTACATTACCTCAGATAATTTATTCAACATATGTCTCTAACACCCTAACCTAGTCCCGGCTGTTTGGGTACATAACAAATCAACTCAATTGGAAAATTAAAATTTAAAATGAGTTTTTCCCTGCAAAATTTACCAATTTAAAAAATAGCACTAGTGAAAAATTGGGAAGGGAAATGAATAAATTAATACAACTTTTCGACATTAATTTGACTGGATCTATTAATATGATAAACATTTAGGCCCTTTGATCAAGAAACCCTTTTTATTAAAGTCCATTTTGAAAAAACATTGCTGAAGTTAACAGTGTGGATATAACTTATTATATAGCTATGTAAGAGCAAAGCAAACAAAAAGGAGGATCCCATTTCAATAATATCAAATGAGATAGAATAATGGACAATTTTTGTTCTTATATATTTTTCAAGGTTTGCAAAATAAAAAGTTATTTTCTATAGGCTTATAGATAATTATTATTAAGTGAGTATAACTCATGGACAGCTCTTATGGAATAATGGCTGAGGGATGTAGTTGATTGCTGTCTGCCAGGTAACCACAGCTCAGATGGGCCTTAATGTGGTTTCTTTTCCTGTTCTGAAACACATAGTGGTTGTTTTCCACATTCCAACTAAACTTATTTTTGAAAACTGTGACTTCACAAGTAACAAAACAGAAGCGACTTAGAATAACAAAATTTCATTTAAAAAAATCTGTCAGATTAGTAAAGATTTTTAAAATACCTATATGCTGAGCAGGTTGGTGGGTGGTTATTTCTACTACAGGTTGGTATGAAGTCTTCAGAAAATAAATATTCAGGCAATGTGGATTAAGAATCTCAAAAGTGTTTATTTTTTTTTTCTATTCAGAAATTGCACCTTCAGGATTCCCCATTATATTAGTCACTTTTCTGTTGCTGTGACAGAAACACTAACCAAAGCAATTTATAGAAGGAAGAGTTTATTTGAGCTTATGGTTCCAGGGAAATTACAGTCCGTCATGGCAGGGGAGCATGCAGCAGAGGTGGCTGGAGGAGCAGCGGAAGCTAAGCTCTCACATCTTCCAGCAGGCACAGGAAGCACGAGAACAACTGGAGATCCAGCAAGGCTTAAGAATTCTCTAAGCCCACCCCCAGTGATGTGCTTCCTCCAGGATAGCCACACCTTCTAAAACCTCCCAAAACAGTGCCACCATCTGGGGACAAAATGTCCAAATACTTGGAGTCTATTCACACCACCACACCCATCAAATAAATGACAAACATGCAGATAAAAACATACCTGTTTTTTTTTAATCTAACTCTACTTATGAAACTTAACTATATGAATGTAAAAAAGAGCTTAGTAATTAATAAATCTCCCATTCAAGGCAATACCAGGCAAACAAGAAGGACCACTATTAACAGGTGCCATCACTTTTACGTGGGAAGGCACAAAAATAGCTTCAAGAACAAGATGGATGCAATGTATAGAAAATACAGAATCACAAGATAATAAAACTTTCTAGAAAGGTTCATGTTTTGTACTGGCAATACTGAAAGTGGTAAACAGTAATTTTTATATTCCTTTATGTTCTTGGTCATAATTTCTAAATTTTCTACAATGAATATATATATATAGTTGATATAATATATAATTATATATACTACATAATATATACTATTTATGAAGCAAGAGGAAAAAATAAAGGACACAGAAAATTAGGGACTACTTAGAGGGAGAAAGCTAATCACTGAGAAAGGGAATGAAAAATGGGAAAGAAAAGTAGAGGAGTGCTTATGAACAAAGCACAATTCTATACATATAAAAACGTGTTACTATAACCCACCTGTATGCTAACCAAAGAAATCAATAAAAAAGTAAAATACATGCCTATGTATCTACAAAATTTAACATTCTGCTGGGCTTCATCTACAGAGTGAAGCCCAAATTGGTCAGGCTCACATTTGAGCCCTTCTATTCTGATTTCATTTCATCAGCACACACGTGTGTCTCATCAGTGCCCGACTAGAAATATCATCATCTGTATGCCAGGATATCTGCAGACATGTGTGGCCCATCCACATTCCTGTCTTCTTCCAATCAACACTACGGCCCCTCCTCCTAGGGTTTCTGATCATGACTTCTGGTTAAAAGTATTTTTAGCCAACTTCAGATATTTATGATATTTCAGGCCAAGTATGATAATCAAACAAAATAATTTTAGACTTTGATTCTAAGGAGCTCAGTCACAGCAAAGGAAGACCCTTCTTGAAGGGAACAAGTCTCTCATCAACATTTGTTAAATGACCAAAAATAGTCACTAGCCTGATAATGGTAGCTAATGCTTAATGGACATTTCCATTCAGAAAAAAAGGTTTTTAGCAAGAGCTTTACCCTTCAACGATCTCATTTAGTGCTCAGCACAGTCTTCTACTTCACACATGGAAAAGACTTATTCTCAGGTGGGTTATGACTATTTCTAAGGTGATGTAGTCAGCGTGGGCCTGAGATCTGGATCCATCTGTATCCCAAACCATGATGATTCTATACCAACATGCTTCTATATTACTAAATTTGCTTGTGAAAAGCCCACTAGGAATTATTTTTCTAGAACTATATTTAATTAATAGGACCAAAATTAATTGTGCCAGTTTACAAGAATTTCTTTTGCATATAATAACAGACACAAAACAATGCAAGTTTCTGTTGAGTCTCGCTGTGTGATGTTTACCTGTATAGGACCAGCCAATCTCTTCAACAAGTTTTCTCTGTTGCCTGTAGTATCCATAAGCCCAATCTATAATTTAAAAAAATGAAATGAAATGATTAATCTTCAGAAAAAGAGATGTTCAAAATTTTAAAAATATAAGGTGTTCGAATGATGCACACCATGAATGACATTTTTTATTATTCTTTTCTATGTTGCCTTCCCAAAGACTATTCAGTTACACCACCACCATTATCAACATCAATGCCCCTGTTCTGGAGTCCTTAGTAAAAAGTTTAGGAAGCACTTAAAGAACGCTGAAGTTTGGGCAGAGACAAAGCAATTGTCTGAGTATACTAGAACGGACTTAGAGGAGTCATTCCAAGGAAAGACAGCCAGAAAGCACAGTTTGCCTCTAAGATCAGTATCTGAAATTCTGTTCCTTAAAGATACTTTGGGATTTACAACCCAGTACACATCTGTAAATGCTTTAAGGAGCCCCAGAGATTGTCATATATTCACAACTTGTTTCCCTTCTAGTAGAAAATGAAATTAGGTATCTTGAGGAAATTGAAATTTTAACGTGTGAATGTGGCTAGGAAAAAGGCTTTATGTTAGACATTGTAGGTAAATTGGTCCCTGAAGGAATGGAAGTGCCTATGGAGATAAGGCTGTGGGGAGTTTCCAGGCCCATGAAGGTTAGGTAGATGCCTCATGGCCCAAGGAGAGATTCTCCAGAAGAGTCTCTCACTTAGAATGTGGCACAATGTGTGTGGGAAGAAGACAGGTGGATGCCAGAACCTCACTTTGCATAATTCAAAATGTGCTTGCAGCCATTTTGAAATAGGAATGCTAGGGGATGTTAGGGTTCAGGGTTCTACTTCCTGTGCCGTAGGACCTTGACCTCAGACTGTGGGAACACCTCTGCTCTAGTTCAACTACACTGAGGATAAAATAAACCTTTGCTCCCTATCTGGAACCTGATCAGTGTCATCCACAGAACTGTTTATGTAGAAAAGACCACAGGTAGTTTACTAATGAACTTGTGGAACATTGTCCATTCACAAATTGTTGTTCATTCACATCCTTCATTTGAATATGTACACACAGTATATTTAATTTTTCCAATTAATTGGGAAAAACTATTTCCGACGATGTGTTTGTTTGTTTGAGACTGGGTCTGAGGATGGCCCTGGACTCCTGCTCATCCATCCCCCACCTCTGAAGTGCTAGTATTATAGGAGGGTACCACCTGGCACTTTCATATTCACTGTCTATACTTTTGCTTTTATTGACAGATCCTGATTACTTCCAATATGCAAAGGTTTTAAGGATGTTTCATACCTTATTTCCCTGTTTCATGCCACATAGTATATGGCAATAAATGACATTTAAATTATTTTTTCTGTAATCTGTTTGTATGTGATGTGTGCATGATGTGTGTGTATGTGCATATTTGTGTCTATGAATATAGGAGTGCACGCCTCACAGGGTGAGCGTGGTGGTCAGAGGATAACCTTGGGTGTGTATCCTCACCTTCCACTCTGTTTTGAGTCAGGGTCTCTTTGTTGTTCACTGCTGGGTACAAGCTAGCTGGCTGCAGGTTTCCAGGAATTTTCATCTCTACATCCCGTCCTGGCATATCCATCCCCCTAGAGGACCACTGAGATTACAGCTTGCTATAAAGTTCAGCTTTTATGTGGGTTCCAGGGATTCAAACCCAGGCTTCCATGCTTGTGTGGTAAAAGTTTTACCAATTCAGCAATCTCTCCAGCCCCTCTCCAGGTTTTGAAAGGCTAAAAAGCTAAGCAAGGCAGTTAATGCAATCAGAATCCATAGATGAACAGTCAAACCTTATCTTGGAGAAATAAGGTTTTTTAATTGATTTTTTTCTTTACCTGTTTGTCTGGGTAAATGTTCTAGTAGCCATGCTACATATTTCAACATACTTATTTTTATTCTCTACAATAATTTTATTAAATATAATTTACATATCATAAAGTCACTCATTAATGTGTACAGTGGTTTTTCATGTATTTTCAAAGTTGTCAACCACCTTACCCACAATTTATAGAACATCTTTGATTCCCAAACAAATTTTATCTTAGTTACCATTCTACTCCGCAGTCCCCAACCCACACCTGGATCTCAGCCCTAGATGACCACTAATCCCTTCTGTCTATACATCTAAATATTGTAGCTATTTCATGAAAACAAAATTATACAGTGTATGGTTTTGTGATTAGTTTCATTCACTTTATATAAAGTTTTCAAGGTTCTTCCATCAAAACTTTATTCATTGTTACCATCTAAGAGGATTTTACTATATGGCAATCAAGACAGCATAAGTTCCATTAAACTTAGGGTGAGGTTGACCACTTGCTTCTTGGTACTAGGCTTCCAGCATCCCTTTCCTTAGACTACTAGTTTACCCTGGAAATTTTGGAACTGCAAAATCTTTCTCTTCCTGTTGAGATTTGGAAATACTTGCTAGTAAACCCAGAAACTTACTTCTCAAGTACCTGGGAACCAAATGTGAGATTGTAAAAGCAGGTTTGGTGCATGATCATAAGGAAGCAGTCTTCCAGGCCTCTGGGAACTTGCTCATATGAACTTGCAACAATGGTGACAGCATGCATATGACCCATGCTGACTCAATCAGACAATATCCCAGCATAGAAGTGGAGAAATAGGCAACAGGCCTCAACCTTAGCCAAGGAACTACTGGCAGGTGATTACTGCTGTGTGCGAGAGAGTTGATTTTACTCTAGTTAGGCTGACTAGACTCCAGAGGATGAACTTGTACTCGGGGACATCTGCGTACACAAACTTGACTCAAAAGGCGTTATCAGAATGCATGAAATTGAGGGGGAGTTATGAAAGAGTGCGGATGGGGGAAATGATTAAGATGTTTTGTATGAACTGCACAAAAGTCAATAAAAATATACATTGAAAAACAAAACAAAAAAGAAAAGCAATCATCAAAGGGAGATAGTGCCCTTGTCTCCCAGTGTCATTGGGACCTCACTGCAAGTGGCAAGAACAGGATTTCATTTTCCTTTGGATAAAGTTTGATAATAAGCACAGGCCTTCCATCACTTTCCCAAGCTGTCTTTCAATAATTTCTCACTAACACATCTTAGCCATTAGACACCTCATTCCTTACTCTGTAAGAGTTGAGTTCAGATTTGGTTTTGCTCTCTCTCTCTCTCTCTCTCTCTCTCTCTCTCTCTCTCTGGTATTGAACTGAGCAATTTTATTCTGCCTAAATACCAATACACCCACATACATACTTTATAAAAATAATAATACATAAGAAGCAAACTGAGGGGGTGCAGAGGTGGTTCAGCAGTTAAGAGCACTGGCTGATCTTGCGGAGGACCTGGGTTCGACTCCCAGCACCCACATGGTAGCTAACAACCATCCATAACTCCAGCTCCAGGTTATCCAACACCCTCTTTTGACCTCTTCTGGCATTGTATGACATAGGTGTACCTACCTACATGCAGGCAATACATTCACACATAAAGTAAAATTTTTATTAAAAAATCTTGAATTTTTCAAGATTTTACTGTCACTTCATATTACTGAAAAAAACCAGAAGGAAAAAATGTAAAACAGCTAAGGCCTCATGGTCTGCTACTATTTGAGAGTACTATACACAAAGCAAGTTTTCAGTTCTGAAATTGACACTACAAAATCTCTGAATAAAGTTTTCCTTGCGTGCTTAAATTTGCCTGCTGAAGGTTTTTGCTTTTGTTTTGGAATGGATACACCTCATTTTGTTTATCCATTCATCTTTTAATGGATGTTGTGTTGCTTTCATTTTTTGTTATTATGAATAATATGACTGTGAATAGCCATGTATGCATTTGTTCTGTGACTTGAAGATGAAATTAGGCTCACTCTTTATCTTTCAAATACAGATCTCTTAAAATGTTAGTCACATACGACTAAATTTAAATTCTGAGGCTAAAGGAATATACATAGCTGGGTGTTAGAAAGAGACTAAAAAATCAACTGGCTCAGACTTTAACAATCTAGAAAAAACATTTCTATTTTAGTGGTAAGGCGATTATGCTCCCCCAAAACGCAAGCAGCTTGCACATGCAGTCACTGAGGAAAATGAAAACATAAGGCTTGGCTCCTGCTCCTAGCCACTGAAGTGTCCCAGATTAAGTAGCTATTCCTTGCTTTCCTAAGGTGCTGGCCCTGAGCAGGAATCCCTGTATACCTTCCAGAGAAACAGAGCAGAGCAAAACAAAGGAACAAGCCAGGGGGTCCACTAGCACAATTTACTTAGACAAATAAGTTGCAGAGAATCTACTGTGATTTTTCCTGGCAATCAACTGGAATTTTCCTTTAAGACTTTGCACTCACCCTACAGAAGTGATTTGCTACCTTCTATGCATTTAAAATGTATTGTTTTAAATGCTAGATATTTTTATAATATAGAAGCATGCTGATGACTTCACAAGATCAGATACTGTAAAAAACTGTGTTTAGTCAGTTTTGCTTTGAGGTAAGTATAACAGTAAGCTCTTATTCTAACGATTCATTCCAAAGAGTGATAGAAAAACATCAAGCAATTTTCAGCTTTCCTGATAGGGCTTTATCACCACACAATGAGAGCACTTGTCTTTGGTTTTTAATTACATACATTAGGAAAGCTTTTTCAGTACAAGATTCCCAGGTGTTGGTGGCTCTCTTCAGCTTCTCTCTGTATTGTTTCCTTAATTGTTGCTTCAAACAATCCTGCTACACATTCATATGCTAATTACACAGTCCTTGGGCGTGAGAGAGTACCCTACTTTCAAAATTCTGCTTAGAGATCTGATAGATGAGACGCGATAGCTCCAATGAGCAAGGAAAAAAGAACTAAGCTCACTTTTGTGGCATTATATACTCTGAAAGCCTGTAAATCTGACATAAAATACAATTTATCGAAGTGCTTATACATTTTAAAATTCATTAAAATAGCAAATTAAGAATGATTTTTTTCCTGTTCCTGTGGATTTTAGTTTCTATAGTTTTTATATTTTGTTTCCATTTAAAGCACTTTATACATCTGTTTAAGTATGTTTTGTACT